TCCTTCTGCTGCAGCAGCTATGCTGCACTAACGAATCATATCTAGGGGCCGGCAGGTAGAGTGTTAGTTGAGGGCGCTGGGTTCCTACACGGTGGACCATGGTTCAAGTCCCAGACCTGGTGGCTTGCTTTCTCGCTTTCTCTTTCTTCCTCTCTCTGTATCTCTCAGGTCAAGTTTTAAAATAACAGCAGCAAATGGAATTAATTAAATAAATCAATCTTTAAAACAAACACACCCTATCTAAGGCATGTAGACGCAATGCCTCCCGAGCCCTCAGAAGGATGTGACATGTGAGGGATGGATAGGGAGGAAGACCACGGAGGTACTCCCACCACTTCCAACCCTCACGTGTCCTTGGGAGCTGCTGAGGAGGAGGAGAGGTGGCTGGTTAGCAAAGCAGAGGGTGCTATCAATGGAAAAAAAAATAACCAACTGCAAAATTAATAATTAATGCGGTTTATTTCCAAGCCAAATATGAGTGACCTAGGCCCAGAGAAGAGACATACATGCCTTTTCTCGGGGTGATCATGCACAGGGGTTCCTTTTATTTGTTTTTGAGATTGACAGACAAAATTTAGTGAAAAGATTTTCCATTGGTCTGGCCCAAAAAGGCGGAACACGTAGAAGTGGGGGCTTATAGGTTATAGGTGGGTTCCACAATTCCTAGGTTGGTGATTGGAAGGGAAGATCTGTGTCTTTGGAAGAGATTAAAGAAAGGCTTAATCTACATCTCAAGGAAAGGGAAGTTCTGTGTCTTGGGAAGAGATAAGCCCAAGAATATACTATAATCGGTTGAAATATACATCTCAAAGATACTATGCCAGGGACAGGAAATACATAGTATACAAAGATACTATGCCAGGGACAGGAGGTAGGAAGAATCCTGTTAATAGAAAATAAATGGTCTGTTGATGTTTGTGGCATGACTTCCCCCGTCCCTTTTGAAAAGATTTTGGAAAAACAAGAAAAGTAGTCAGACTTCTGTCCATAGTGCAAAGAACCCAGATGGTGCAGGCAGCTTACCGGGGCCATCCCCTTCCAAAGGCCCAGAAGACTCTCCGTGCGAACCACCTTTAAGAATACAGCAAACATCCCGACACGTCCGGATCTAAAGGAGGGCAGAATGGAGACAAGGGCCAAAAGACCACTTCGAGCACGTCCTTGTCAAACAGTTCTTCCTCAAAGACTCCTCTGTAAGAGCCCTTAAAGATCACTACCACAGGACTGGCCCTGTGGTAGTTGAGGCAGACAGAAGCCCATGGACAACTGTACAGTTCAAGTCCCAGACCCGGTGACTGGAGAAATACACCAGGCGCATGTGTGTACACTCCCCAAATCCCCAGAAAAGGTAGATATGGGGAGGGGATTGAGTGTGACCATATTCCCCAGGGGTCCCTTCTCTTTTCTCTGTCTCTCTGGCAAGTACACACGCCCTCTAGCAACAACAAAAAGGGATCTCTTCCATCTTGGAATTACTCTGGACTTCTATGCGCTCCTGGTTTGGCACCAACTTTATGTGTCTGTTTACACGGTGAATAACAGGACACTCTCCCAACGTACACACATTCTGTGTATGTGCCGTGGTGCTGACCCACCATAGGGACCGACTGCTAGAACACCACTTGTAGCAGGCCGTGCAGTTAAAGAATTATGAACCAGAGCAATAAAATACCAACATCACTGAGGCAGATCCATCCAAGGGAGCGTCTCAGGGAAGAACCTCATTTTTTAAATTTTTTAAATTTTGCCAGAGGACATGCACACTCATCAGAGAGAGATACAGAACCGGACAGAGAGAGAGAGGGAGAAAGCACCCCCCCCATGGGGTATGGTCATGCCACAATCCCTTCTCCTCCACCCCATCAGGGTCTTGGACATGCATGCACAAGTACCTGGCATACCCGTTAAGCCACCAGGCTGAGATTTGAACGCATGGTTAGTCAGGTGGGATCCAGTGCCCATAATCACCAGGCCACATGCCCAGTCCCAAGACCCTTTCAATTAATAAGAAATGCCAAATATAGAAAGCATTCACAGAGAAGAATATACACAAACACGGGAGAGTAGGGCATGGCCTGTGTTTGAGCAGCCATCAGAAGAGAAGTTCATTTAACGCAGCACAGATGCTCTCATGTCTGAGAAGTTGCCAATACTGTCACCAGGGACATGCGGGGCAGTGGTTCCTACCCATGGTCCGAAGGCTGGAGTGTCTGCAGGCGTGTTTTCAGGAGATCCAGAGGCTGGAAAAGGAGGGTAGAGCAGGTCCCACTGATGGAGCCACACAGGAAAGCCTTGATCACCGGATGTAACTGCAGGACAAGGGGACACCACGTCAGCAGCTCTGCCTGGCCAAACCTCACCTCTCTCCACCATAAAGAGCTCACAGACTCGCCTGGTGCTGCCTCATACTGTCTTCCAACCCGAGAGAAGGGAGAACTAGCCAGAAACGGACAATTCTGGGATGCCGTAGAGGATATCGAACGCGGTAAGAGGGCCTCTGGTCTGGGCACTGCTGATAACGTTGCTCCTACTAAGTGACACGACTACCACCGTCACCGGCCTCGCTCGCTTATCGGTCCTGACATGAAATGTTACCAGCCATCGCCTTTTCTGGGCAGAGGCAGAATCAACTGAAGACAGTGTTTTCATTCTGGGTTGCTGATTTCTAGAATCCCTCGGCCATAGGACCTGTAGATACTTACGTAGCAGATGTCACAGTGAACGGACTGCTAAGCTCGGTCACAGTGTGAAAATATTGGGTGGTCATGGGACCAGCAGTTAGTGTAATGGCTATGTCGCTGGACTCCCACGTAGTCGACTATGGTTCGCGTCCCGGACCCGGTGGCTTAAAACTCATGCCAGGCGCGTGTGCATGCGTGCCCAAGATCCCGAGAGGAGAATGGAGGAGAAGGGATTGCGGCGTGGCCATCCCCCCTGGGAGGTGATTTCTCACTTTCTGTCTCTATGTCTCTCTCTGTCTGTCTGGCAAGCGCACGCGCCCTATAGCAAAAACCTCTCCAAAAAAAAAAAAAAAAGAAAGAAAGAAAGAAAAAAGAAAAACAGAAAAAAATACATAATGACTTTTCCAACAACCCAATATAAATACCTCTTCCTATAGAATCTATGTACTTCCTTCTTTTAAAACTTTCCTCTTTGGGTCGGACCCATCTAGTGGCTAAAAGAGCCAGACCTCATATCACTGTGTAGTTTGAATTCTAGCCCCAGCTGCTTGGAAAAACGCTGGGTGCATGTATGTGTGTGTGCCCCAAAATCCCAGCAGGGTGTCAAAATGGAGAAGGGGTTGCGGCATGATCGCACCCATGGGGGGGGGGTGCCTTCTCCTTTCTCCCTCCCTCTCTGTGTCTCTCCAGTGAGTATACTTGCCCTCTGGCAAATTAAAAAGAAAACAATAAGCTTTCCTCTTCACTCCTGAATTTGCTGCCCCACCGTTTACCAGCCCCTGGCCGGGTGACCGTGCAGATCTGCAGGCAGTACCAAGAAAAGCAGAGCTCCTTCAAGACTAGATGTAGCCCCCACACACGGCCAAGCCTCAGCTCCAGCGCTGGTACCAGTATGGAAGGACAGCACCCTCTTTCCAGCCCCTGCGGCTAGCAGAATCACAACTATAAAGGCACTTTCAGAAACCCAACCACAGGGGCCAGCTAGGTGGTTCAGACAGCTGGATTCCACATGGTCCGCGGTTCAAGTCCCGGATCCAGTGGCTTGAAAAAACACACTAGACATGTGTGCATTCATGCCCAAAATTCCAAGAGGAGAACGAGACTGTACTGTGGTCTTCCCTCTGGGGGTGCTTTAATCTGTCTGTCTGTCTCTCTGCTTCTTTCATGCTCTGTAGCAAAATTTAAAAACAACAAAAATGCAATCAGGAAGAGAAACGCTCTTCTCCAAAGGAGACACTTGGCAAATTCCATCCAAAAAGGCCTTTCTTCTCATATTAAGTGGCAGTTGCATTTATTACTCTAATAAATGACACAATGTAGCCCTAGAACATGATGATGAATAATAGGAAGTTTCCCATCACACCCCTACCACATTAGCTCCTGGGAATGGAAACTTAGTACTCTGTTTTCAGACCACAGATAAACACATTGTAGCTGGATGAAATTAAAATTGAGCTTGGGAGGAGTAAATTCAGATAATCAAGTACCAGAGATTATCATCACTTTCCAATAGGTTCTGAAGTACCCAAGTGTGGGGGGGCTGATCAGACAACAGGTAAAACAAGCAGGGCGGTGTAGCCCTGCAGGTCTGTCCTGACACCCCCTACCACCCTCCACTTCCGCTCTTCTGCTAACCACAACCCACCAGGCTGTGCTGCTCAGCCTCATTCCAGACTGCAGCATCAGTGAGCCCTACTTTGGGGACAGTGGCACAGTGGCAAAATGTGACATTCTGTAAGCTGGCCCATGTGCGAAGGTTCCAGGTTGGTGTCTGGAGACCTCCCCGAGTACTCCGGGCACACACGTGCCTGCCATCGGGACTGGCTGAGGCTGGGATCGGACTGCACTTTAGAGACCTCCCTCCCTGCTGGCTTCACTCATGGAAAAAATAAAGAAACTTAAAAAAAGAGAGACCCTGCTTCCTCACACACTAGTCCTCTCCTTTCCACTGGCATCTTCTCTTCCACCAGGAACATGCTCCAGCCCAAGGCTGCACCCTCTCCCCTCTGCACCAGCCAG